CCCAGTATGGTGGAGCAGTGTAGGCTCACAACAGGAAAAGCCTATAAACAGTTGTTTTCCAAGGTTTTAATGAAGCACTGCACAAATTAGTAAAGTGATGTCTTCAAGAAGAACAAGATAATTACCTTAACCCTACTCAGTTTCTGGATTAGCACATGCTGAGTTAGTTAAAAGGCTTCTGCACAAAATGGGCTTATCGTATAAACTCATCCTTGGTTTAATAGATGTAGTGACAACTTTTCAGAGAAGGTTGGAACTTTATGTTTTCCTTTACTGTTGTGCCTGGTCATTAAATATATCAAAATCAGTCCCTTGCCTGGGACTGACACATCTGAAGCCACTATGCTCTGGCATGAAGGAGATGGCCCCTTCTGTCACCATGGTTCTTATAGCTTACATCCACTGTAGTTTGCTGAAGATTCAGATACAATAGAAGATACTATCTAAATACCAAATGGTATAAACACTATATTAAACAACAATAGACAAGGGAGGGAATTATAATTCTATTCCTAACATAATAATATTTCTGACTTTTACGAAGAACTGCATACAGTACTACCCTTAAGCCAGGTTTCCCCCCCCTTTTTTTAGGGATACTATTTCCTTTATTTTTTTATTTTGAGAGATAAAAGATATTACAGTACTAGCCACACAGTGGTGCTAGATGGCATTTGGATGACTTATTTAGCAGAATATAAGAAAAGTTGTTTCATTTTTAATATATGTAATTATCACAAGAGTAGTAGTAATCAGATGTATATAGGATCATAGAACAAAAATAAATGAGCAACCAAAACAGATGATTTAAGATCTGCAACTTGTCCAGCTGTAGCTGTTCTTACACATTTAGCATTTCAGAAGCAGAGAATGGCCTTCTGCATCTGTCAACACTCTTACTGTGCTAAAAGGAAGAGCTTAGCCTGTGCAATATTTTTCTCATCAAATGTATTTTCACCAAAAATAAAGGTAGTCCAGGAAGGCTTCATTTTTTATCAATTTTTATATAGAAATCTCTCAATGTTTTTCTGCATAACAACAGACCAAAAAAGCATCTATGCAGTGATAGACAGTTTCTGGCTGCAAGAAGTTTTTCAGGGAAAATAAAAGCAAATTTTATAAATGGTTTTGAAATGGCTCAGCACTGAATTACTGCACCACTTACAGCACCAGCAACAGAATAAACTACAATAGAGAAGAAAGCACAAACCTGTTTTTAAAGCTTTTAGCACTTTTTATTAGTTGCTTTCACTGTTTATTATCACTGTTTATTATTTAGAATTCTTAATTGAATAAGTCAGTCTTATTCATTCACCCACTTTCATTTAAAAAAAAAAACAACTTCAATACATACTTAAATGTTTGAATAATCCCACAAGGTCAAATCAGTGTATTGAACATCTTGAAATGTAAAATTGCTTCTCTGCAGGCAAATGAATAGTGCTGCTGTAGGCTTGTACTGTACAGCTAGCATGCATTTTAATAGGTGTCTATAGAATTGTGAGTGTCCAGCACTTCCATAATCTGAAAGTTGCAACCCATGAAAACACATTTATATTAGTACAAGTGTAAAGATATAAAAAGACAACTGAGTGAACAATATCTTTAGAATCCATATTGCTCTTTTTTAACTTGGGATCTAGCAAAGAATCTAAGTGGATGGACTTTGGATAATTACAAAATGTCTTAAAACCCTTGGATTACTTAAAGTTTTGTGAAGCGGAACTTTTCCCTGAGATATGTTTTGTGAAAGACAAAATGTAGTATCAGTATAAAGGCATACTTTGTTGAAGGCCCTGCGTATTTGGTTTATCTTCCTTCCACACTCCTGCATGGAACAAAGCTGGTATTTCCTGATCTTCACATTCTCTCACTCTCCCCTCTCACTATGATGAAGATCAGGAAAGGGCTTAGGACTACAGTTTTTCCCCCATGTTCAGTGACAGAGATCTGTCATTTACATTAGGCAACATTGATCAAAGTTGTGCTGTTGTAAGAGTTCCCTAGTTCAGATTATGCCCTATCTTGTGGCTAGAAAGGCTAAATACAATGACCAACTTTAAAGTATCTGGATATAGAAGCGGTTGTGTGAATTTTATTTTTTCTTTCACCTCTCTAATTTTCTTTCTGTAAGCCCTAACAACATCCTTAAACATTTTCTGAGTTACCTACCCGTTTTCCAAAGATGATATATCCTATTAGTTTCTCTTCTTAGTTTCTTCTAAAGCTGACGAGACAGGCCTGTTGTTTTTCCTATTAGCTCGTCTTTTGACACATAGGGATAACATGCTCCTGCACCTTCAAGATTTCTTACTTGAAGTGTGTCTATCCTCCCCGGACCCCTTTGTTTTAAGGGATGTTTCCCAAGGTGCTCTCTGATCAGCATCCTGAATAGGCTGAAGTTTGCCTTCCAGAAGTCCAGTGTGGAGTTTTACTGATGCCCCTCCACGTCTCACTGAACATCGAAAACTATTATTTTATGATTGCTCTACCCCAGATGGCCTCTGACCACCACATCTCCCACCAATCCTTCTCTGTAAATAGAAGGGCTAGCAAAGCCCCATCCCTGGCTGCTGATCTTGAAACTTCCTCCAGCTGCTTATAGGATAATACATCCACCTCTTCATCCTGCTTGGTGTGTCTATAACAGACTCCCACCCGGATGTCTGCCTTGTTGGTCTTTCCCCTGATCCTTACCCGTAGAGACTCACCTTCACCACCCTTGACCTCAAATTCTGTCGTGTCAAGAGACACCCCAATATACAGAGCCACCCCACCACCTCTCCGTCCTCACCTCTCTGTTCTGACGAGCTTGTGACCATCCACTGCAGCACCCCAGTGATGTGAGTCATCCCACCATGTTTCTGTGATGGCTACTGTGTCATAGCTTTCCTTCTGTACCATGGCTTACAGCTCCTCCTATTTGTTGACCATGCTGGCTACATTAGTGTACATGCACTTCAGCTGGACTCATTTCACTTTCAGCTCTGGCTTACCACCCTTAGGCTCATCTCTGGACAGCCTGTTTCATCCTCTTCCCCATTCAAACCTAGTTTAAAGGCCTCTCAATCGGCCCTGAAAACTCGTGGTCTAGAATCCTTTTGTCTGTGTTAGATAGATGGAGCCCATTTGACTCTGGCAGGCCTGGTGCTGTAAAAGTTGTCCCGTGATCAAAAAACTCAAAACTGTGCCAATGGCACTAGCCCTTAAACCACTTATTGATAACATGGTATTTCCTGCTCCTTTCATCATTCATCTCTACTACTGAAGGAAGAGAGCAGCACACTGTCTGCACTCCTGTCCCATCAACCAATCGACCCACAGCCTTGAAGTCCTTTTTAATTACTCTGGCACCCTTCTTATCAATATCATCACTGCCAACCTGGACAACCAGCAGTGCGTAATACATACACTTCACCACAAGCATGGGAAATTCTATTGTTGTGTATAAAAACAAGAAGCACAGAAGAGGCTTAGGACTAAATGCAAGGAGAACTGAGTTCTATCAAAAACCTACTCTTGATGATTAAAAATAATATTTTATTTTTTTAATGGTTCCTACTTACTGCAAATTCTGACTGGCAGTGCATACAGAGGGGTATGCAGCTGCTCAGCCTGACAGCTCCAGATGGACCCACTTTTGAGTCATCTGCATGGAGGGAAAAAGGTGACCAGAAGGGTTTTTAAAAATGAAACAAAGTCTACAAATTCCCATTAGGAGGAAACAGAACACTCAAACCTTTTGTCAGAAAAGAAGGGGGGTGTGAAGAGGTCAAAGAGTTTGTGTCTCATTGACAAATTACTTCCTGTGAGTATAGTGGCTTCCATTTTATGTCATTAAAACAAGCAAAAGAGTCAGTGACTTGACATCATCTTGTCCTTTAATGCACACATGGATAATTTACTATTTCCCATGTCAGGAGGTTGAAGCCAGCACTTCCATTATTAGAATGAATATAAAGAAAATATAGATCTATGGTCAGAGTCAAGGGAAGTTAAGCACCTACATTCTAAATTTTCCTAGAATTAAAGCTTCAGTTTTCCTAAAGCTTACCTTAATATACACATCCATAACTCTTTCCTTCCCAAACCCTTGTGAAGCATTCAGCTAATAGTCTGGTTTCTTAGAAAATTTACACCTATTAGCCTGAGCTGTCTATAAAACATAACTATGCCTTCCAAAATGACCTGTCGTTCAGATTTCTTTCTACTGAACAATTTGATTGTTCGTGTATATGTAAATGCCTGGGCTCAGAAAATAATAACTGGTTAAAATGTGACACTCTGTGTTTTGGATTTCTCTTACTGAGTGCTTTAATAACTAAATTCTAAATGAAATGTGCCCTTTCCATCTCTGAAATTCATAAATTCAGTAATTTTGAACTTATTCTAGGGCACTAAAGCAATATCAATGGTTGAGATGTAGTGTGTTTCCCTGCATGTGTATCTGATAACCAGATACTTGGTACACTATTACAAGACTAGAAGTAGTACACGGCTATTTGCAACTATCTGTGACTCTTCTACCTTGAATAAAATCTGTGTTCACCATAGTACTTTACAATATTCATTACTAAACTAGTAAACACAAAGTAAACATTTTCAAAATAAAATGCTTATAAGTCAAAATTTATTATAGTTTTTCTAAGATAAAATATAATTCTTTCATTCCATGCTCTGAACTAAAATGTTTTTTGTATGGTTTTAGGTAGAAAACTTCCCATAAAAGAGAAATTGTACTTTCTAGACAGAGATTAGAATTCCTTTTTCACCATGACACAATTTATGAAATGTCATAGCTGATTATATGTGAAATAAAAGACTAAACTGCAATGCCTTTTAAAATTAAGATCTCAACCATGGATTCAAATAGAGATATAAACTACTTATGTAGCACTACTACTCTGTGCCACTTATGACGTAAAATTGAAAAACATTTAATTCCCTTACCTAGTTTACCACTCGAGTCATGGGAACATCCACCCATCGGTACCACATACCTTTTTCAGTTTAATAACTCCTTCCTGGGTGTACTCATCTGTCGTGATGTCAAACAAGTTTCCTCCATCTCCTGGAACTATGTTGTACTCAATTTCTGCATTTTTCCCAAAATCAGGGTCCACAGCTCTGATCCGTCCAATAGCAGAACCAATGTGAGAGGTCTCAGGTACTTTTAAATGGAAGATACCTGTGACAAAGTGGTAGACAGTCATTCTTGGGATTTCTTGATAATTAACACAGATATTTCTGATTAAAATAATGGAGCCTGTGCAAATTAAAAGGCTTAAATAATCTAATTAAAATTATGAGATGAAAACAACAAAGGTTTTGAAAAATATATTCCAGTTTTATCTATTGACTTCCTCTAGATTCTAGATTTTGTCCATTGCAACTGTAAAGGTCTTAGCATCTATATCTCTTGAAATTCCTATCTATGCTTCTAGCTTTAATTTTTCACATTTGATTGACTCTCTTGAATTAAATTGTACTTACAGATAGTGCATGTTTATAAGCACTTTCCTGCTTTTTTTTGTTTGTTTGTTTTTTGTTTTGTTTTTTTCAGTTTTTTTGTGGGGTTGTTTGTGTGTTTTTTTTAGAAAATATATTTATGACTTTCACATTGGTTGAAAGGGAAAATTCAGTGGCAAAATAATTTTCCACCCAATTCTTTAAAAATCAGTATTAAATATATATATATATATATATATAATTACTTTAGGAAGAACGATATAGACTATCGTTCATACATGAGCCACCAGAGGGGGTCCTTACTAAAATTTCAGGGCTGAACAATTTTTAGCTTTGAACACCTTTGCTCTCAGATTATTTACTGCAAGTAATAATAAGAAAATAAAAACAAACTGCCAAAAAAATTACACACTTATAAAATAAGTATTGCTACTGATGTAAAGAGAAAATAGTTTCATTCAGGGGAACAGCTATGTTGGAAAATGCTAGACATAATAATTAACAGAGCTAAACCAAAAAGGCCAAGGTGCTTCGAGACAGCCTTGATTTTAGCAACAGCATTAGCAGCAGGCCTGGTCCTGTAACATGGTGCCCTGCCTTATTTCACTGCTCCTGAGGTGCCCATATTGCCTGTTTAGCTGCACCTCTTGCTGGAGCTGTTACTTTGCTCAGCTGCCAGCAAACACCTCCATGACCAGTAATTACAGTGGGCAGGCAGAGCTCGCCTTTCTTCATGTAGCAGTCTCTGCTGTCAGAACTGCCAGCAGCTTTTGGAGTTGGTTTTGATGCCAGGATGTTTGATTCACTTCATCCTGTCTCTCAACAAAGCTAGCCACATCATTTTTCTTCCCTTGGTCCATTTTGTTTTCCTGGGTCATTGTTCCACAGGTCTCACAGAGCTGCCCATTCAGACAACATCAGCAATGACGTGCTTGGTTCTGCTACATGTGAGATGTAGGAGGAAATTTGTACCTCTTTTTCAACAGCAGAGCAGGACAGGCAACTGTTTACTATTGCAAGGCACATTAGGGGGTCATCTCAGAGATTTCCACCCAGCAGTGGTTCAGCCACACATCACAAAATGAGGCTCTGAGAGGCTGTATATTATGTAACAGCAGGATAGGTGACTTTGGAATTCAGTCACTGAATTAAACAGCAGACGCTGTTCCCTGACGTTATCTCCGTACAATTCATGCTGTGTCAGCTTTTTCAGCTTTACAATATTTTCAGGTGACAAAAAAATGACATTAGCATTGCTGGATTAGTAACAAGCTCACGCTTTTTTGAGCTAGTCATTTGGGCTCTGGTGTCTATATAACTGTCTGTTTGGTTGCCTCTGAAAAAATGTCTTTTGTTTGCTTTCCCCCTCTGCCCGTCAGTATGCAAAGTATACCTGAAGGCAAAATTCGCCTTTTTTGTTAGAGAAAAATCTCCATAAGTAAAGGCAGCTCATGCCAACATTCACTTCTGGACATCACAGTGTGTAGGTTTGCATTACCCATTGACTGAGCTACTGAGGACTGAGCAATTATCATTTCAGAACCTTTCCTTCCAAGTGAACTAAAGGATGTTCTACTGTACTTAGTGTTGTTCCAACAGAAGGAAAAGATTTTTATGACGACACAAAATGGTGTAATGACAAAAGAGTCTCAGCTATTTCTAAGCTGTACTTCAGTAACTCTGAGTAAAGAATAAAATTTTAACATGATATTCATGATACAATCACAAATCCTCCTATTATTTAATGCCATTTACAAACACATGTGTTACTGGGTCTCTGCTATGCAAGTTATGCAGAAAAGAGACTGAAAAGGCCTTTACCTACACTTGAATCTTAAATTAAGTTTCCACAACACAGTCCTAGCTCTGTTGTCCAGATCTTCTACAGGCACTTATATCTGATAACAGAAATCTTTGCTGCAGTATTTGCTGTTTACATCCATAGTTTTATTGAAAATTAAATATAAGAGCACACAATCATAGACTTTTTCCATCTTTGACAAATTGATCTATTTTTAGTGATCTGAAGATCACTCAGATTTATTAAAACAAACATTTCCCTATAAAATATTGTATCTGACTGAAAAGCATATGGGACTTAGATGAAGTCAAAGAAAGGCTAAATAACTGATTTCTGATTGTTTAGGCCTTTTTCTGTTATTTTCAATGATTTGGCATTTCATTATTTCCAGAAATTCAACAGCAATAAAGATGGGGTCACTCAGATTAATTTGAAACCCTGAAGCAATCTTCAATCCTGCAAGACTCAGATTTCTGAAGATGTAGTATGTAATTACAGTGCCATTGCCCACCTGTAATACTATCTTCACAGCATATGGAACCTGCTAACTGTTCTACTGTGACAACTTACTTTCAGAATAAAATAAATGAAAACAAATAATGTGTATTGCTGCCAGGTCTCAGAAAAATGTCAAGGGAATATAATACATAGCATGAAACCCTCCTTCCCTTCCTCCCCTCCCTTAAAAAATAGAATCCTAGAACCATAGAATATGTTGAGCTGGAAGGGACCCGTCAGGAACACTGACTGCAACTCCTGACCCTGCACGGGATACCCTGAGAACCACACCATGTGCCTGAGAATGTTGTATTGTACAAATGCTTCTTGATCTCAGACAGGCTCATTCTTTGTAGGGAGGACATTTGAAATGATCAATATATGCCATACATCAAATGAGATAGAAAGACAGTTTTGTAGATTTCTGGTTTTTCTGTTTCCAGCAGATATTGCTTCTTGCTTGGACTTGCTGTGACAGTTTAGCATTATTCATTTTTATTGTCCATTTTGCTTGTGTACACTACTACCTCCATTTGCTATAGAGGTATATTGAAACAGGCCTGAGTAATAGCCTTTTACTCCCAAAGGTCCTGAAAACCTTGTTCTCTTCAGCTTCCAGGAATGATGGAATAAGCAATTCAGACAAACTTATGCAGTAGCTGGTTATGCTGCTCAAAGAGTTCTGTCAAATTTTGTTGATGTGACTTCTCTGCCAACAAAAATCTTTCTTCTACTTGCATAAATATCTTTTAAATGTGATTTCCAGGTTTGCTTCTGTCTTTTAGGATGTACCAAAGGAGAAAGCCCTCACTTTTCTCAAACTGCAGTACAAAACTGGACTTTGGAACTAGCTCTTCCTTTTGCTGATTTTAGTCTCATATATTGCATGCAAGTTGGGATATTTTCATGTATAGGAAAGCTGGTAACAATAAATATTGCTTGGTCAGGACTTTTGGTTTCATGTTAAGCAGCATCAGCAAGGATGAAACAAATAAATAAGTGATGATGCTGTTGAAGCTTTTAAGCTGAAATAACTGACAGGGCTAATTACTTAGCCCCAAAATCTTTCAGGAAAATGAGGCAGAGGTGAGCTAACAATTCATACACGTTGCCTCTGAGATTCTAAAACAAAGATAGTTTCAAAGCTCACAGCAGGAAGAAATCAGAGCTGAGTAAGTGACAGGTAATCAGTCATATTGACTGAAATATAGCACACATTTACAGTTCCTCTGACATGATTAGATTGGTTTTAGTTTTTAAGGCTCAAAAGCTGTTCTGGGGTTTGATTTTTACTTACAAAGAGGTTAGGTGAGTTTTTTTGTTTATTTTTTACTTACAAAGAAGTTTTTTTGTTGTTGTTTCTCCACACTTGAAGTTTACACCATCATTTACCAAAAAGCTTTTCAGGTCTGACGGGAATAGCAGATGAAAATCATCATTGCTTCTTATCAGCAAAACAACCATTAAGAAATAACCCAGGTTAGCATCAAAGGACTTAAGCTAAATGCATAATGGCCTTCAATCAAACAGCTGTAAATGGTATTCAAACATTTGTTTTCCAATCTGTCACCACACTTGTACTGTGCAAGATTATCCTCTCCTGAATTTTATTCGTCTGTACTTTTTTCAGCTTTCTGGCAGTTGCCAAAGTCTTGCATTGCAGTGGATCATGATAGCATGATTCTTAAAGGCAAAAACATTGAAGTAAAAGAATTATCTCTCATTCTTCTAAATCATTAATGTTTTCTCAGGAAATGCAAACAAACAAACAAACAAGAAGACCCAAACCCATAGTGTACTGCAATATTCTTATTATCTTAAATTACCAAGGCATTTTAATTTTTATCCTGACCTGAATTGTAAAGGCAATAATTTATGTCTGTTTAGCAAGAATCATAAGCCAATAGTTCATTTTTTCTCACTGATGTTTTAACTGCAGTGCAATAGTCAAAGGATGATGTAAATATAAAAGCATATACTCAGTACATTAAACCTGTTACATCAGCGTCAGCTAATCAGCCTAATAAATATCAGCATCTGATGCATATGCTCATAAAACTAGGAGATGTGATTTAGCACAGCAGTGAGATGCATTCATGCCTTTTCTAGATGTGTCTCTGTGCTCTACAGAGGGGCTGGGACATTGTGTGGGGGAAAAAAGTCAGGCTTTGTCACCATGTGCCTGATGCAGGTCATGCATGATCTGAGATGGGCTTGTAAAACTTCAGTTATGGAAATGGTCCTTCCAGTATTTAACCCACTGGTCTGAGTAAAGGTTTATGGCCTCATTAGAAGCCATGCTTATGGCTCAAGAAACCATGCTTAAAAATTTCTGGCTCTCTTCTGTGGATTCCAAGGTCCACACCTAGAAAAATGCATCTCTCAATGCTGCAGAGATCATGGATGTCCAAGGTTCACCA